ATAAAGTATCTCTGTACAGAGTTGCGTATATTTTTTATTGCATTTTCGGACATAGCTTTAAATCCGATGAAAGAGTCAATCCGCGACGAGAGAGTCCGAATATATATATATATATTTCTTTAACATTCGATTCGCGCACTTTTTTCTTGTTCTTTTGAAATTTTCATGCTATTTTTCCACGCGCTCGGCGTTAACGCTTAGATCGAAGCGAGAGCCGATGAAGGGAACACACCAGGAGTTGGCCGCTAAAGGGGAAATTTAAGGGAATATATATATTCGCACAAGTTGCATATACACAGGCGGAAAAGCGCGGACAGCGAGTTCGAGTATAATCTCGGGAATATTTTTCCGCCGAGAGTTCCAATTTACCGCGCGACTCGACGAAGGCGAGTTTTTAATTAAAAACATTATCTTCGCCGTATGCATGTCCGCGTTTGCTACCCCAATGTTACACATACATCGCGTCAAAGCCGCGTCGCGGAGTACAATATATACGATATTTCGAGATTTGGCCGAAATGCAACAAGAGAAGAGAGAAGTTTCGTCTGGGATCACAAACGCTTGTCGTTCTCGATTTATGATATAAGAGCGTCACGTGCGATGTGCGTATAATTGCATTTCGCGGATATATCGGGGTTGCCTTTGTGCGGAGCCAGGTCGACGTTCTATATTTAATATCGATAACGAATACAAATCCTCGTGAATTGTTCGGCGGGTCTATTCAGCGGCGGCGAAATGTAACGGATAACAACGTAATTTTCTCGCGCGATATTACGCGGCGATAATCTGTAATAATACGCAAGATACGCTTGCATTAACCGCAGCTTGTGATAGCAATCAGTGTCGCATTTATCATGTTTTATATGCGAGTTTATTTACTAGTGCCGAAAACACACATCGCAATCAGTAAAAGTTCCTAAAGAATCATTTTAATTTACAAAAGGATATGAAAGAGTTTTAAAATAATTAAAATAACGTTTGAATATTTAAATCGATATTTTATACAGAGAGGATTTTCTCTTAGTATTTATACTCTGAAAAAATTATGATAATTATTGGATAATTATGGAATTATTGAAAGAATTTTATATAAGAATTTCTCTGATTAATATTTAGCACAATAAAAAATATTAATATTTATCACAATAAGATATAAAATATGTTCGATTAATTTTTACTGTGCACATAATATTTTTATTGTGGTATAAATATTAATCAGAAAACCTCTTCATGATTTTCAGAATAAATTTTAAAAGACAATTCTCTCCGCGCGTTCCTTCCATCAGTTCAAAAATTAACAATTTGTTTTTAGTAAATTTAATGACAAATATGACACTGATAATGAGAAACCTGATTTTTTCTGATAACAGAATAATTATTATTAATTAATTTTATCGTAAATTAAAAAAAAAGTATTAAAAAGGATACTATATTTTTGTATCATCCCGTTCCGATTACTTGGACGAATTCGAATAATTTTCTGTAATGGCACTCTTGATAATCGAGCGATGGATAATCAACAAAGATGCAGAGAGCAAGAGTTATTTATTTATCGCGTCCTGGAATCAATATCGTCCACTGTACCGAATTTTATATAAGAATTTCTCTGATTAATATTTATCACAATAAAAAATATTAATATCTATCACAATAAGATATAAAATATGTTCGATTAATTTTTACTGTGCACATAATATTTTTATTGTGGTATAAATATTAATCAGAAAACCTCTTCATGATTTTCAGAATAAATTTTAAAAGACAATTCTCTCCGCGCGTTCCTTCCATCAGTTCAAAAATCAACAATTTGTTTTTAGTAAATTTAATGACAAATATGACACTGATAATGAGAAACCTGATTTTTCCTGATAACAGAATAATTATTATTAATTAATTTTATCGTAAATTAAAAAAAAAAGTATTAAAAAGGATACTATATTTTTGTATCATCCCGTTCCGACTACTTGGACGAATTCGAATAATTTTCTGTAATGGCACTCTTGATAATCGAGCGATGGATAATCAACAAAGATGCAGAGAGCAAGAGTTATTTATTTGTCGCGTCCTGGAATCAATATCGTCCACTGCACCGATAATATCGCGGAAGAGAAGTATCACGGGGCAGGCGGCTGCGAAACTTTTATTCCCGTCGCGGTCTTAAGAAATCTTTTCGAAATCTTTAGAATACAGTTGGGAGCACCCGTGCCGGGGGTTTGCATCTGCGAGAAATGGATCGACTTCCTTTTCCTCCCGCGCCGGCTGGACCAGCATATCGCGCGATATTCCAGGAATTACGCGAGCTATAAATCATTTCGTGAGATGTGCGCGCTGTTTTAAATATTATTAATGGTTCGTGGATGTATATAGGTAAAACAATGTAAGGATTTACGTAAAGATAAATTAATATCTCATTCCAATTATAGTCACATCTCCATTTTCCTCTCTCGAATATCATATATAATATCTCTCGAATACACACGTCGCAATCGGAGAAAAAGTCTACAGAATGTTGTGGCTTTGTTTATTAATTAATTTAGTTAAGCTATGAAAAAATATTTAATATATCGAACGTTAAATATATATATATATAGGTAAAACAATGTAAGAATTTACGTAAAGATAAATTAATATCTCATTCCAATTATAGTCACATCTCCATTTTCCTCTCTCGAATATCATATATAATATCTCTCGAATACACACGTCGCAATCGGAGAAAAAGTCTACAGAATGTTGTGGCTTCGTTTATTAATTAATTTAGTTAAGCTATGAAAAAATATTTAATATATCGAACGTTAAATATATATATATATAGGTAAAACAATGTAAGAATTTACGTAAAGATAAATTAATATCTCATTCCAATTATAGTCACATCTCCATTTTCCTCTCTCGAATATCATATATAATATCTCTCGAATACACACGTCGCAATCGGAGAAAAAGTCTACAGAATGTTGTGGCTTCGTTTATTAATTAATTTAGTTAAGCTATGAAAAAATATTTAATATATCGAACGTTAAATATATATATATATAGGTAAAACAATGTAAGAATTTACGTAAAGATAAATTAATATCTCATTCCAATTATAGTCACATCTCCATTTTCCTCTCTCGAATATCATATATAATATCTCTCGAATACACACGTCGCAATCGGAGAAAAAGTCTACAGAATGTTGTGGCTTCGTTTGTTAATTAATTTAGTTAAGCTATGAAAAAAAATATTTAATATATCGAACGTTAAAAAATGATGAAAAATAGAGAAAGAAAAATCTATAGTTGCGAGAAAAGTAAACTTCGGGAAGAATTTTCAACGAGAGATAGATGAACGCGAGTTTTTAAATTTTCTGTATAGGTTACTATGTAAATTTAAATTTAATAAAAAGGAGACAATATTTAAGGCTCATGGTCGAATAATTCCGCAAATTATTCGCGTGAATCTCACACGGCTTCCGAGCGGCGCCGCCAGTAATTATGCGAAATATCGGGAAGCTTCTCGCGACCCGGGGGATGAGCTTGCACGGGCCGCTGAACTTTCCGACGAGTTTTCCCTCCATCCTGTTCTGGACGGAAGTTTCGGTATAGGTATCTAATGCTCGGCCGACGAAGCGGCGAATGCATCTCGTTTCTTCGTTGTCGGACTGAGAATAGCGATAGGGGAAGTTTCGCGCGACTTCTCCGCGACCTTGCGGCGCGACTGTGAGAAGGCTGTTGACGTAATCGAGGAGATCCAGCGGCAGCTTCCGGCCCAAAGTTTCGCACCCGAAATGCGACGCGACGCGAACTTGCCGTAATTTCGCCGACGAAATATTCGTATCCTCGTGCACCCTCTAATTTCCATAACTCGTTTACAGGCCTTTCCAGGAAGGAGGGAAATCTCCGAGGAAGTTCGGAGATACCTTTTCGCGGAGCCAACTAAATCGTTTGCGAGTTCTCCCTCTTTCAAGGAGGTAATCAGAGGGGACAAGTTGTTCGGTCATTTGCAAGACTCGCTTCAAGATCGCCGATGTAATATTTTCTTCGTATGCGAAGAAGCTTGCGCGAGAGAGATGAATTGAATAACGAGATCATTTTTCTTCCGAAGATCCTTCTCGCCTTGAGAGAACCTTTTTTTTTTTTTGAATTTGTTCTTTTTTGCTCTTTGGAAATTTTCTTCCGAAACTTGAACAAAACTTGTTTTATGGAAATTGTAAATCGGAGAACTTTCGCGAATTTATTACGCGTATTACGAGAGACGCGTGATTATTATTTCAAATGTAATGTTCTATCTGTAGGTTGATACACGGTGCTTCTCGATAAATATTTTATTTATTCGAATTACAGCGCACATATTCCATACGATGAAATGATGATGCGTTAATTTATACATAAAAATATATCTATATGCATCAAGACCGGCCACTCGGCGGATCTCAATGCGATTCATATCGGCATATAAAACATTTAATTATGACGGTAATAGCAAATACGATTAAGTCGATAACGAAATGTCGCACGTAATTATTAACATTACCGCGTTTAACGTCATCGTAATGTGAAATTATTGGGTTTCCATGTTGGTCCATTGGTGCACATGATCGACAAAGATCCATCGTGATTTATGAGACATTAATATTTTACGATGACTATAGATTGAATCTGCTTCCCCCTCTCTAATAATTAATAATGTGCATAACTTTGCATATTTTCATATAAATAATAAATAACGTCATTTACAAATGGGCCTCTCTCTAACGAGAAAAATATAAACAAGCAATAAAATCGTACAAGAAATGTATTCCACGTAGTTGAGAAAATTAGCGATGATTAACTAAAGCGATACATTCCGTACTATAATTGAAATTGTGTAAAGACTAAAAAAATTGTCAAAGAATTTAATCAATCAAAAAATATCTTTTGCTACATTTTTAATTTTGCGTTAATCACCGCATTATCTTCCCATCCAGATGTATAATATAAAATTGAAAAGAAAGCAAAGCATTAAAGACGACTCACCGGATCGCGTTGAATATCTCGTGAAAGCCGGTGCCCTGGTGGCTGCTGACGTCACAAGTGGGCAAGGGATGTAACAGGGGTAGCCGGTGACAGAGCACGCTGTCGCTGTTGCGTTTGCTGCTGCCGTTGCTGTCTCGATCCCGGTCGTTTTGCGGCAGAGGCCCGTTGCCATTTGCGGGTGCCGGCCCTAGGCCGAGGCCCAGCGGAAGACGCGGCAGCGTGGCCGGTCTCGTCAGACTTCCGTAGGCCGCTAGGGCGCCTCTGGGCAAGGACGAGTAGCAACGATTCAACGGCAGGGTGCCGAGGGTGCTGGACGCACAGCCGCTGCTTCCGGAACCGGAACCCGAACCTGCGTCAAATTCAATGGTCCGCGTGAAATATATGTGTGACATATGTATAGCTCGCGGAGAGAATTTTCTCTTAGAATTTATATACCCTGAAAAGATGAGTTTCTCTGATTAATATTTATCACAATCAAATATTAATATGTACAGAGTAAAATTAATCGAAATTATTTTATATCTTGTTGCGATAGATATATTAATATATTTTGACACTTGAAATTTATATTTATATTACAGAGCCTTGTTAAACTCTTAATTAATATATTTTATTGTGCATGGTATAAATATTAATCGCAGAAAAGCTCTTATAAAAATTCCTTCAATATTATATCGTCCCACGATTACCATGATTTTCAGGGTAAATTCTAAATTGTAAGAGAAAATTCTCTCTGCGCTATTACTGTATTAAATGAAAAAATAAATCAATAAAATGTGTAAAAGGCAGCAAAAGAAAATTTTAAGATAACTAAAAGATGACAGAATGCAATTCTTGGATATGAAAATTCTAATTTTTCTCTAGATTTTTGTAGAGCGCTACCGATTCTCTTTGTCGCCGAGTATATCGATTCGTCGATTGTGATCAGATTTCAGTTACAACGCCGAGAATTTTATCGACATTAAACTCGTAAACCGCAGGGTAACGCGTTGTTCCGTAATCGGGTCCGCTGTGTAACGCGATCAATCAACGGCAGGCCACGTAGGACGAGTTATCCCAAGCGAAGTACACCACCACGTACGATAATCGTGCCACCGCGTCGAGCGCGTTGCAACAAACATTTCGTAATTACTAATTAAATTACGGAATGTTTATCGCTATTTCGAGAGTAAACTCTGCCATTGTATCCGTTTAGAATTGCGGTTGGCAATGACGTAGATCCCTGGAGGATGTCAAAATATCTTTCTATTAATCGTGTATGTGCAATATTACACGGAGAGAATTTTCTCTTAGAATTTACCCTGAAAATCATGGTAATCGTGATGGGATAATATAGTATTCGAACAATTTTATAAGAGTTTCTCTGATTAATATTTTTACCACAATAAAAAATATTCCGTATCTACCATAATAAAATATAAAATATGTTTGATTAATTTTATTATGTATATATTAACATTTTTTATTGTGCTAAATATTAATCAGAAAAACTTTTATTAAAAGATAATGCTCTCCGTGTACCCTTTTAACATTATTAGCTAAAGCTTGTATATTTTTTATAAAAGAAAATATTAACAAATATACATCATCAATCTATATTATATTTTAATATAAAAGACGCAAATAGACAAATTAGTTTACATTGATTGAGTGATGGAAATTTTATGTGAATGATGCTAAATATAATAAAATCTTGAAAACGGTATGTATAATTTAATAAAGAAATATGTAAAGTTATTTTTCTCTAGGTAAATAAAATGAAACATTTCTCAGTCTTTCTCTCTCATTTCGTCCCATTTGTTTCCCTGCCGACAGCTACGACGATGTCGGTTACGTTAACGTCACTCCGAATGGTTCACCGGTGAATATCCAGTCCAGGGCGAGATCTAATTCGGATCCCGTCGTTTGTGCAGCATCGGGGTTAATAAACTCCTTTTTGGACGTGATCTCATCTGGGACGTGTATATATATGCGGAGAAAATTAGACGTACGGGAAAATTCGAGGAAAGTGGCCCGCGAGATCCACGATGAATATTAATCCGAGACGTTCGGTGCTATATGTTCCTTAATTTTGAAACCCGAGAGTTATTCCGACACGACAATATCCATCCGGAGTTTGTTTGGCACGAATTATTCGCCCAATTCTCGAATTTTTTCATTTCTCATCAGTCAAACGAAGTCTGTACTCTTTGATCTTTAATTCGTAAAGCTTGTACATGAAACTTTACGTGTTCTTTAATCCTTTAATTTTTAAGAAACTGAAAAACCTCTATTCTCGAGAAACTGCAAAATGCATAGATTTTTGTCCTCTCAGAAATTTTTATATTAAAAGTATGAATATATGATAGATAAAAAATATTTTATTAATTTTCGATCAATTTTTCTTCGCTCATCTCTCGAATTTTTTCACATCAATCATTAACAAAATTTGTACTCTTTGATCTTTAATTCGTGAAGCTTGTGCATAGAACTTTACGTGTTTTTTAAGCCTTCAATTTTTAAGAAACTCAAAACCTCCTCCATTCTCGAGAAACTGCAAAATGCTTAGATATTTATCTTCTCTGAAATTTTTATATTAAAAATATAAATACATAAAACATAAAAAATGTGGTATTAATTTTTTTTCGTTATTCGGCATTAATAATAATGCATCCTTAGTAACAAGATTACGGTAATTCTAGTCCTCGCGGTAAACATTTCCCTCAAATTCGATCCGACAACAACAAACACAATAGGGAGAGATGGATTAGTCGGTTGGATTTCAATCTGCCGTATCGTTTCCGCCTTATTCAAAGCCAGATGCTTTTGTTCGTCTCCGGTTACTCCCGCACACGTATACATACACATACACATACACATACAAAAGGTGTATGCCTGATCTAACCTGTCGGATTAATTGATTACACGCCGTCTACACGGTGACGTGAAAGTCGTGTCCGTCAAACAAGCAGCGAGGATTCCGTCTTCGAAGACAGCCAGAGGATCTTATTTTCTCTTTCTCCCTCGTACTTACTTCCCGGAGAAGTTGAATTGTTAATAAGTACTAACTTTTGCTCACGAACTTTGCACATATACACTCTTTCGAGCGCGTACTTTCTTGTTAGACACGTGCATGATGCAAATGTATCGCTCTTTCTCTCTCTCTCTTATCTTCGTCGTTGAGGATTAAATTGATGGACACCACCGGGACATTGTCGGAGTTTCGCGTAATAGGAAGTTACGTCGTAACTGGAACGTAAAATCGCGTTATCTCGCGCTATCATTCGAATGATGACGATTAATCCAACGAGGTAGCGCACTCGCGATTCCGTAATTACGATATGCTCGCGAAGTGAATAGTGCTAATTACGTTGATTTATTAATGCAATTGTACATTGTTTTAAAATATCGAAAGATAAAAGTCATAGAAATAATTATATAATTTAAATATTTTCAGAGAGAGAAATTGTGTTTTCTTTTCCTTTTATAATTGAAAAAAAATTGTTACTTTTGTTAGCATTAATAATGTCGCTTTACAAATATTGTTTAATATTGCTGAGATATTAATACAATATCTCGATGGTAAACTGTTAATATTATAAGGTGCAGAAATAAAAAAGAACGGAACTATGAAAGAATTTCGTTGTAAAAAAGTATCAGTATGAAAAAGATGTTCGATAACACGTGACTTTGAATATCGGCTAAAACCACCTTATGGTCAGTGTTATGAAACTCTTTTGTATCAATTTATTTAATATCGATAGCTGATGCGAAAAATAAGAGAGAGAACCTTAAGCTTCTTTAAATTTTAAATGCCTTTCCTGCACATTTTTTTTTATAGAACGAGCTATAGTCAAAATTAAAAAAGTTGAAATTTATAGATTTAAGTAACTATAAAATAATTTCAATACATTTAATAATAGATGATTAGCGATATTATACATTTGACATGTATAAAATGGAATCATTTCGTAGATGAATATAATTCCTAAATAATGTAAAAAAATTATGAAAAATGAATTAATTTCCAAATAAATTATTTTACAAAAAAAAGACATTTTAGAAATATAATACAAAGAGAGAAAAAATTATTTCTATCACTCGTTTCTATACGCCTGTTATTTGAATGCTTAATATTGTTTTATCATTTCTTTCGTGTATAAAAGAAAGAAGGAGAGAGAAAGAGAAGGAGTAGAAAGAAACTTAATAATTTTTTTGCTACACCATATTAGATTTCTTAAAATTTGTCTTTCGAATGCGAAAGAAAGTTTGCTATAAATTCATTTATTATTCCTATCCGAGAGATTCGCGAATGCATAATTTGATATTGATTATAGCTTCCTTTATGCAGTAACTTTAACTGATAGAAGTTTCTTATGAAGTAAGCAACTTCTTATTAGGAGAAATATTTCTTGCTAAGTCGTATTAAGCTTAACGGTTGATTATACGACACGGTGGCGGCAACGCGGAAGCTTTTTGTGCTTGCGATCGATCAGCAAGCGGTTTGCATCGCGTTTATCCGCACCAAACTAATTATAATAGAGTCCGATTGGCGACGAGGTGACCCAGTTGCGACATCGGCAACAAGAAAGAGGCGTCCAATTCCTCTCGATACCTCGGGGAAAAGCAATTTCGTAATGCTGATGGCTTATATGTGTGCTTTGCCATCCAATTTATATTTCATATTGCTCAACTTGACGCGAATACTTTCGATAATATTTACCGCTATTCTTTGAAAGAGAGCCTAGTTATCTTTTTCATTTATTTACAACTGTACGTTACGCTGAAAATTTGACGTTATACTACATGTGGAAGTAAAATCGATAAGAAATAAACGAGCAGTGAAAAAATATGTCTAAAATCGTATATATGTATACGATACGAAATCTGTCACGAGATTAAAATCCGGAGCGCACAATGTGACTAAAAAATCTCTGTATATTAAGTATGCATGAATTTTTATTTCGAAGATTTTGTAGCTGTGGCCTCAATTTTTACGCCGTGACCGATGGATTGTTTAAAGTAATCAAGTAAATTTACGATACTGCAGTTACATGTATTACTTAAACCAATGGTTTCCGGACGGTTCAATGTTATCCGAGGCGTTTTAGCGTGATTGGATGCCGCCGATCGGCGAGAAACCGAATTCGAGGAAACGGATATTGCAGCGATGCAAAGCGATTTCGAAACCAAGACGTGAGCAGAGAGGAGGCAGAGCGATTAGACCTTACTAGATGTGATCCTTTGGGCGCTACTCTCTTTTGAGTATCATGATCGAGATTGATCGAGCGAGTTGGAAGCATTTCAGGAATGCGAGGAAAAAATTCGAGAAGATATTTCCACTTTTTTTTTTGAAAAATTAAGGAAAATCTATGGTTTCTATATTTAGTACACAGAATTTATTTTTAGAATTTACCCTAAAAATATGATATTTGAAGAATTTTATGAGTTTCTCTCTTATTAATATCTACCACAATGAGATATAAAAAATGTTCGATTCATTTTACTATAGACATAGTAAAATTTACATATAAATTGTCCCACAATTACCATGATTTTCAGGATAAATTCTAAGAGAAATTTCTCTCTGTATATAGTATTTGTGTTAATCTCTTGATGTGTATAAATTTTGTGTTATTTAAATCTTTCGGATAAAAGCAGAAGGAGAATAATGAAATTTTGCATTGCATATTTTTGTTAAAATGCCACTGTGAAATATTTCGTTTTTTATTCGCGTGCGTGTTGAAGAAACAAAATTGTAATAACTGTCAATTTTCGTTTTCTCTCGAGGCATTTAAGATAACTCTGTACTATTAATTACAAATCAAATAAATACAATGGCAGATATTACTCGCACCTTAATGAATATACAGTGGATCGTGGTCCATGTATAGTTTAGCGAAGTTGATAAGCAAACTCATTTCATTTCGGGCTAACAAAATAATCGTTAATTGCGCAGGGAGCACGCGGCTCGAAAGTTGTAACGGCGCTTAGTTTCGTTTCGAGCTATTATGCGACCGGAACGTGGTACAGCGCCATTAGAAAAACTTTGGGATGAACACTGCTACGCGACCGTGATTTTAAACGACACATTGCAACCCTTAAAACGGATCGAAAATCGCGACTGAAATTCAACGACGAGCAACAAAAATGTCCGCCTCTGTAATGCGAGATCTAATCTTCGAATCGTGAAGAGAGCTTTTCGCGATTTCACGCGAGGAATCCGCGAATGATCTCTCGTACCGATCCGCTGCAAAAGTCGTCGAGCTTCCCTTAGCGAGACGCAGCCACTTTAAGTCGGCGCTTTCGATCGATTGGCAATTTCGCGGCGAAAGAGAAGATGCGAAAGGCTGCTTTTACTCCGAACGACTCTTGCTCGCTCTTGTAAACGGATTGACTCCTTTCTAGATGGCAAAGTGTGCGCCGCCGGTGTCTGTAATTGCTCCGCCGTCGAAGCTGGGAATGAACGACGGCGAGAAAAGGGAATCTCTTGTCTGAGCCCGTATGTAAGTGTACATTATATATATATGTATATCGAGTGTTTTGTCTGCAGTACATATTGTATATTTACTTATTCAATCTGACAAAGACGTTTACTGTTTGAACGGAAAAGACGAGAGCGACGTGAAATTTTTCACCACTCTGGAGAATTGTATTTATTCTTCATTTATATTGTTCGTTAAAAGATTTTAATTTACGTCTTGTAACGTTATTTCTCCAATGTACGTTAATATTGATTCTTTAAATCTAAAGTTTATTTTTCTACAATCTATATGTCTCGTTTGTTAGAACCAATTATACGTATTCGACTTTATTTAGATACTGATACACGAAGGGAATTTTCTTTTAGAATTTACCTTGAAAATTATGACAAAAATTTTGTCAGAGTTTCTCTGATTAATATTCACAACAATAAAAATTATTAATATACGTAATAAATTTTATTGAACATATTTTATATCTCATTGTGGTAGATATTAATACATATTTTTTATTGTGATAAAAATATTAATCAGAAAAACTTTTATAAAATTTCTCAATTTTCCCAGTACCATATTGTCCCACGATTATCATGATTTTCAGGGTGAATTCTAAGAAAATTCTCTCTGTATACAATAAACATTATAAAAAAAATGATATAAAAAATCATATTAAAGCTGAATCGTGCTGCAATCATAGCTGAATTTTTGTCCCAATATTGATTAATCTCCACCTATATCTGTTTAGCAATTTATCCATCGTTGTTCAGACTATAACGTAACATTATGGACCTTTTACCGCGAAACTGCCGATCGTATAAAATCGTGATCTGCGCACTCGCTTCGGAGACGAAGTTCCGGAAGCGCGAAAGTTCGTTTTAACGTCGTTGCGAGAGAGCTTTCGCTCGCACGCGACCGCCCGCTTCTGTTCCTAATTCCGGTGTCGGTTTAATGGCGAGCGTACGTCCGCAACAATGTACTTTTGCCGCGGTCGTATCGGTTTATGGTGGTCGCGACGTGACCGCGCCGACATTGAACGTGCAGTTTTCCCGGCGACCTGTCACCGTGCTGCTCCCTACCATGCGAGTTAGCCGCGGTTAGACCGCTGACAACAATTTAAACCATTATGAGACAGAGGCGTGAAATTATTATCCCGCGAATCTACGAACCTAATTTTCCATTAGCGATACCCGGAACGTCTCGCATCTCAAACTTGGAAAACGAAATAATGATATTGATCTTATTTTGAAAAAATTGTCCGAGTAATGTTGATATTTATCAAAGATATATGAAAATAAAGTTGACTCTAAACAGAACATTACATTTTACAAATTTAGTCATATTTTACTCAACTGTGCGATAATTTGTAAATGTTTTTAAGAAGAAATATATAGTATATTTTATATACGTTTTAGATGGCTTTCTCGGTTCTTTCAAAAAAGAGCAATCGATGATTCTGCCATTATGATGTAACATGAAAGAAAATATCTCAATTTAATAAAGGGACAGTTCAATCGTAAAAGAGAACGTTGAAAATTTGCGAGTCAGCCAAATCGCGGCAGTAATGCACGGAATGTGTTTGGTATCTCGCGGAAAATTCATGGATGTTGAATCTCAAGGGAAGAACTGCACGCTCGCGCTTTATATCGATACAAAGCTCAAAACTTTGTCGACGCGATTCATCGTAGGATATGTATTCTCACGGTACATGTACATTACAATGTATGCAAACCGCGTCGAAAAAAATTAATTTTTTTAGTAACAAAACAATCCTTTTTCCCTCTTATTCCGACATGAATTAACGGCTCTTGCATAATTTTATCCAGCTTTTATTCTTAAAATCAGAAACGAAAAGCATTTAAATATTTTCCAATTAAAGACTAAAATAATGACAAATATATGCAACATATACCCTAACAAAAATAATGATTGATTTCTCAAATATGTATCGAGTATCCTCATAAGATATTCATAGATTCGAAAATTATCAGACAAATTCAACATCGACGAGAAGCGCTGATTTTTCGCAAACATATCCGCACGGAATCGCGTCGACGAATCGAAAGCAAACGAAAAAGCAAGAAAGTTTTACCCATACTGATGCCAGAGCTGGACGGATCCTCGTTCTTGGCGCCCCAGCTGCCGGCCAGATTGAGTGCCAGCAGCGGTCGTTCCTTCAGCAACTCGGCCACCGAGGCCAGGCCCTCGCATCCGCAGCCTAAATGGGGCAAGTGCAGCGCCTGCACTTGAATGCAGCCGCGAAGTGCCTCGCAGACCCGGGACACTTGCTCGCCGGACAGATTCATGTCGAGCACCAACCGTGACAGGCTGCCGGAGGCGTGACTCAGGCCGCGACAAAGTGCGTTCACTACGCACTCCAGTCTGAAATCAATCAATTAATTACGTGGTTAATACGAGGGATACACTGTCTTAAACACGTGTCAAATTATTTTAAATAAATAGATGATCAAATAGTAAGCGAAATTTATATTGTATTTTCTCTTTTTTCATTCAAAAAGGTATGTTGCTTCATAAATCGATGATTTTGTTAAAATACTCCCAAACAGGGCAAATGCCTTTCCTCCTTGGAATCCTCCTTGGAATAAAAAAATGAAGCATTTGCTCTCCTTTTAAATAAACATTGAAATTTATTTAATATGAAAATAAAATAACAAAAAAAAATTGAGAAAGAACAAAAAAGAAATAAGAATCCAAAAAATGTCATCATGCCCTTCCTCTGGAAAAAATCCTGCGGATGCTCTCGAAGACATTTAGCCGATTTAATTGTCCATAATAAATGGAACATTGAAATTTATTTGCATATTTAATATAAAAACATGAAAATAAAATAACAAAAAAAAATTAAGAAAGAACAAAAAAGAAATAAGAAACCAAAAAATGTCATCATGTCCTTCCTCTGGAAAAAATCCTGCGGATGCTCTCGAAGACATTTAGATTTAATTGTCCATAATAAATTTCAGTCATTTTTAGACCAGACTTTCGACGTTATCACATCGGCACTGAAAGAATGCGAATAGCGTTATGATTGTTACACGTGCATTCGAATCGAAATTATCCCAAATGGAACGGATATCTCTGTCGACGCGTTGCGATCCGACAAGTTGGAAAAACTGCGACGTACCATATATGCGGTAATAACCGAGGGATTCGGGAATGAGGGAGCTGGGGGTGCATTTTCGAAGCTTGGCTTTTACGTCACACGCGCATATACATATATACGATGCAATTCGGAATGTAACCGCATATCCGGATACCGATGTAAATTCGGCAGCGCGAAAGTTCGACGCGGACTGTATATTTATGCATGTATAATGCGCATTTCACGTTGTCTATTCGCGGCGTTACTTCTCAGCCGAATCTCCGAACGAACGTTGCGCAGACACATTACGCATTATGCAAAGTCCCGACGCTCCCTCAGGGAACGGTAAGCGAGAGCCTGGATTTTCTCGCGCGCGGGATATGCGCTAACAACGAGAGAGCGGAAAGTGCAAGGGAATGTTCGTGTTGCATCACGATTATTCTGCTACTTGAAAATTGGTTCAAGTCAGTGACGTAACTAACCGTTTAGAATAATCTCTCGCCACGGTTCTTTCGGAGAAAATTAATTTAAGCAGAGACGTGTTACTTCTTATTGTTTCAACGATATTCATTATCCTTTTTTTCGTGCATGTATCCTTCTTATTAATAATCTAAATAATATAATGAAAAAAATAATTAAATTATTTACAATAGTGGATATGGATGTTAATAAAAATAGAACAAAAAAGCTCTGAGATATGAGAGATATCAGATAAAAATTATAGACTCAACAAACTTATCTTAAAATCTTTATTTAATTCGAACGTTTCAGTCTTTTCTGGATCATCTTCAGTAGATCAATTTCCAAAATTACTAATAAAAAATAATAATAAAGACCACATAAAATTATAATCTAAAAAAATGCTTGATAGTTAAATTTGCAAAATTTTACATTCTGTATTTTTGAAAAATGTTTCGTTCCTTCTAATTCTGTTCCCGTCTTATTTGTATTTTTCTCTTCGAATTCACCCGCTTTTTCAGTTATTTTTTTTTCATCATTTTCATCTTTCTCAGATCTTTTTCTATTTCTTTAGGTCATGTCATTGTGGTCGAAGCTTCCGCGCGCGGAATTGGCTGTTCCGCATTCAACACAGCGGCAAGGGAATTGCGGCCGAAGTGCGCAAGCAGCGTATTTGCGAAAAGCGCGGAAACTGCAGTTAAGCGCATTTGCAGACGGGCGCGATTCTCGTATCTGAATCGTACTATTAATTGCTTCCTCTGGATTTCGACATCGTCGGAAAGCAAAGAAATTATAAAGTAAAGAATTATACTTAGAAGGCATATCACAGCAAACGTTAAGTTCGTCGCGCAGCGCGTAAAAAGGAAAAAAAACGATATTCATTATCCTTTTTTTCGTGCATGTATCCTTCTTATTAATAATCTAAATAATATAATGTAAAAAATAATTAAATTATTTACAATAGTATATGGATGTTAATAAAAATAGAACAAAAAAGCTCTGAGATATGAGAAATATCAGACAAAAATGATAGGCTCAACAAACTTATCTTAAAATCTTTATTTGATTCGAACGTTTCAGTCTTTTCTGGATCATCTTCAGGGCACGATTCTCGTATCTGAATCGTACTATTAATTGCTTCCTCTGGATTTCGACATCGTCGGAAAGCAAAGAAATTATAAAGTAAAGAATTATACTTAGAAGGCATATCACAGCAAACGTTAAGTTTGTCGTGCAGCGCGTAAAAAGGAAAAAAAAAGAAAGAACGAGACTCTCAACTTTATAGCTACTTTGCATGGTAATTACTTTCAAACGCGTAGCAAAATATCACAAACTTTAAATATCACAAATTTTTCGTTCGAGTTACTCATATATCGAATAAAAGAAAATAAAAATAAAATAAAATAGGATAAGCTTAGAAAGATACAAGGCAATAATAAAATTTACTTTGTAAATTCACCCTATCTCGATAAAAATTAATATAAAAATAGTCAAAGAATTATTGAAAATTTATAAATTTGAAAGACAATAGATATGAAATAAATTTCTCAAATAAGAGCGGTATAATAATATAGATTTTACATCGTCGTGTTCGATTATGGCTTTTATGTTGCAGCAATCGATAGCTTCGCAGCAAGTATCAAATACAGGAGACTTCTGTGAACTTTTCACAGAAATATTCAAGTCGAGACGATAGGCAATCGATTCTTATAGCTCGAATAGACAAAGTCGATTCTCGAAGCGCGTCGAATACAAAAGTGAAGGCTGACGTTATGGAAAGACGATAGAATGAAGCAAGTAAAGAGTAAGAACAGGCTTGGTAGAGTTGTAACAAGAAGATGCGAAACAATAGCTGGCTATCGAGGGAGAGAAGAAAGCTTTGTACTTCGAGACAAACGGCAGTTAGGTGTTCGTTCTCTTTTATATTTCTGTTTCGCAGTTGCATAGAGGAAAAGATACTCCTCTCATGAAGCTTCAAGAGACGAGAGAAGGATTGGAGATTCGCGCTAAAGAAGAAAAAGATAACAGAAAGCAGGGCAAACGAAGGCCTACTTGCGAAATATTCTGCGGAATAAAGCACAAAGAGGAAAATTTAGATTAGAAATTAATTTCAACTGATACGAATTATTTATTTTCGAAACCATTTCAATCAAAGTTCATCAAATTTGATTTCATCCGCGCTGGTTCAAAATCTATATCACTTTAGAAAGAAGGATCGAGCTTCGCGTGTAGAAGACGAGTAAAGAATAATACTGTGCTATACACACAACGGCGTAGAGAAAGTCTCCGAGGAAAAAGTTGGAGCAACGATGAAACCAAAGAGCTTGAAACCGAGAGATTCAGTAAAAAAACAAAAAAAGAACGAAAAAGGAGATAAAAAAAAGGGAGCAGCAAATTCGGTCGCGAGTTAAAACGCGTCTCGTCTTGTCGTTTCCTTTAATTTTTCGTCACAGTTTTTTCTCTCCTCGCCTCTTTTCCCTTCGGGGTTTTTCTCTCGAGCATCTGCCCGCGTTCTTTTGCACAGAGTGCACTCTTTCTCTTTTGTTATGTTCTGACGGCCGAAAAAGCGGAAGCTCGCGCGCCACATCCGGAATATAATTCGAAAGGCGATGCGTTGTCCGGGAAAAAAAATTTCTCGATAAGGAAGAAGATAAAGAGGCACTCGACTCCGGAGATGGACGAGATTGAATTTTTAAGCGCAAAGTAAAGAGAAAGGTTTCGCGTACGCAGAATTAAAATGTCTATTGGAAGAATCTCTCTTAACTGGATCTCTCGTTTCGCAGAATGGTAACATTTGTACAGAAAAGCATACCAAACGGCAAAAGTAATTACATTTCGCAATAATTTTTTTGTCCAATTCGATACGTGATATAAAATAAATAAAAGTATGAAAAAATCTATATAAAATAATTAAAATAAAAGATAAAAAAGTTTATAGAGAGTTATACAAGACGAGACGAATCAATCTTATTTAAATTTAGAGCTATCTCGACAAACATACATTTCTCGAAAAATAATACTATGTAAAGAACATTATAATGATTTTGTAATATTTCACATAAATTTAACCCATTTAAATTTATAATATTTTCACATAAATATTTCATATTTCATAATAAATCGCATAAATAATTTTTCCGATTCGACGCGTTCGCTCCATTTCGAAATCCAGGTCGACGAGACGGCAAGTTCATCGGTAAATCGAGAAGTTCGCGCGAAAACTCGCCCGCAGGAGTACTTTCTCCATCTCCTCGAGGACACAGACGCGAAAAGGGAGAGTAAAGCGTCTCGGCTCGGGATCGAAAAATATAAAGCCTGAGTGGAGTAAAGATGCAAAAGATGCCCGTGGGCTCGCATAAGAAGCCAGTAAAGCTTGAGTTAACTCGAAGCAACAAGAAATTAAAATCCATCGCGAGGTAAACAAAGGAACTGTGTATATAAGAAAATCTCGCAAAGATCCCTTCAGGGATGTTTTCAAAGATGTCTTTTGCATACTGCGTATACGCAACAAACGAATACACGTGTATTCATTGTGTTGTGTTTACAAATGTATGAAAAACGATACACTTTGCTACATTCAATGAAACAGCAGAAAAATACGAAGGAAAAATATGCAAATTAGAAAAGTTGATACATAGAACTCTATCTATGGTGAACTCGTAATTCAACGATCTTAATGTAAGCGATATACTCGTACTTTGCGCGAGAAACTTGGTAGTGTTTTATCGCGCGTACGAAACTTTAGATTATCTTTTTAATTATTATTCTTTTATTAACAGAAAGAAATTAATGGCGCTATTACCATCTGTTTTTTATTCCACTTTAGGAGAAATTCACGATAATGGCTTTTATCAATTGTTTTCAAGATACATAGCTCTCTCTCGCTTTTAAAACTATCACTCGGCTTCTCGCGCGAAAACCGCAGATATACGAAGAGAATTTTCTCTTTGAATTTATCCTGAAAATCACATGGTAATCGTGGGACAATTACGGTATTGGAAGAATTTTATAAGAATTTCTCTGATTAATATTTACTACAATAAAAAATATTAATATGTACATAGTAAAATTAATCGAACATATTTTATATCTTATTGCGATAGATATTAATATTTTTTGCTGTGATATAAATATTAATCAGAGATTTCTTACAAAATTCTTTCAATATCACAATATAATTGTCTCACGATTACCATGATTTTCAGGGTAAATTCTAAGAGAAAATTCTCTCTGTGTAGAGATGATAATTTTCTTCGACAAGATAGTAAAAGCTCTCGTATGTATGCGAGCGAGCCACGCCGACTGTGCAAATGTATATTCACAACTCGATTCTCGCAAAGTAAACACGTTTTTTCGACGTCTGCCATCCACCCCCTTCAGGGCGAAGACAAATATCCGTGCAATAGACCTTTTCGTCGCTCTTCGCCATGCGACAAAACAGATTTTTCAATTTTGACGTCTCCGTGGAGATCGCGCGAGCTTAAATTGAAATAAAAATTTTAGGGGATGGTCGACGGACTTCGATAAATCTTGATGATTTAATGCTGCGTATAGTGATAGCCAAAACTTAATAACATTCACGATAAAGCAATTTATATTCTCTATAATTATTAAAAAATCAATGGGAATTATAATATAATATATTGTGATTCGTAAATTGTTATTACGAAAATTTATAATTTTTCAATCTTGTAAATCTAAAAAAATTACTCATTCTAAAAAACAGACTTTCTTTCAAAATGAAGAAAAATCTAAATACAAATAAGTAAATCTATATATTTAAAAAGTAAGTCATTTTTATTTGAATTTATTTTTCAGGCAATCTGTTTCACTTTATATTGACTTTTCACTCAAGAATCTAAAAATAAATCTCGTATTTTGCGCTTCTTTTCACGGCGCGGAAGAGCAAATATCCTCGTCGACTTGTTCTAGCAGACCTCATAGCGACCGAACAGGCTTTCTGTAATAAGTCTTCGTCGTCGAGACTATCGACGGCGCCGTACCGAGTCATCGAAACACAATAACGCCGACATGTCCGCCAGGCTCTTTATCTTTCTAGCTATTGAGTCGCGCGAGAGAATCGACTCGATGACTCGGATCGTAAAGTAGTCGGGTGCGACACGAAAAAAGTTCGTTGTTATAATCTATCGTTATTTGTGGTTTTTCGTAAAACAATTTTAAACAAAAATTGCATTGTAGTAAAATTAATAAAGATATAAAGATAACAAGAAACGATAATAAAATGACAAGAAGTAAGAAAAATTTGAGTAAATAAAAAAGCAGATAAAAATGATCCAAGTTTTCTTTCTGTCAAGAACAAACTTTCCATGTATCTCAATAATTCAATGACGTATCGTACGATTATATATAGTTTATTCCCCTTAAAATGCTTAGTCGGCAATCTTATAAATTGCTCGAAAACTCGAGGAAAAGATCGGAAAACGATCTCGTTTCGCTAAGTAAATATACTCATAAAATGACTCACCTGTCATGGGCCGCCTCCTCGAGACAGGTGATGACAAGCTCGAAGTCGTTGAGTTTCTTCTTTCCGAGCACGCTCTTCAGATGTCCGGCCAGTCGTTGCGCCTCGTCCGCCGGGAATTCCTGTCCCAGCAGAGACGTGATCCTAACAAGTTTGACGCTCTCGTTGCCGGCGAGCGCGTCGAAGAAGTCGTCGAGATATCGAGGATCGGAGCCTCGCTCCACTTGGAACACCACCTCGAGCGCTTCGAGCGTGCAAGCGGGACTCTCGAGAATCCTGGCCCATCCCTCTAGTTCCAACGGGGACGTGTGAACCAACGGGGCCGGTGGTCGTTCGTTGGGCGCGGGTCCAAAACCGGAGCCTGCTCCGAGTAATCGACAGACCGCCGAGATGTTGCCATCGGACGCGCCGGCCGCCTTCAGCAACGAGAACACAGCTCTAGGTGGCACCTCCAACGGGCATAATTGGTTCAGAATTAAGTGGGTCTTAGGACCGAGCAGACCGGCCAGATGACCGATGATCCCTGAGGGCAGACCCTCCAGTTCACGGCGCAGAATATTGGCGTACTGCGCTACCGAGGTGAGATAGTACGCGGCCAGGAATTCCGCCACCGCCGTGTGAATTGGCGTGTAGAGATCCGGCTTGCGTCTCTGGCCGAAAGTTAATCCCCTCGTCAGGAAGCCGAGCCGCGTGACCTCGATGCCGCCGCCTCGCGCCCTCAACTCGGCTTCCGTATAACAGCACCTGCTCTCCCGCAGTGCGGCCAGGGAGACCTTGCCGAAGTCCTCGAGACGCTTCCTGCAGTGTCCCGGGATCTCTTCGTTGTACGGAATCGGCGGGTCTAGGCTTCTCTTCACAATGCACTTCACCGCTGCTTGTACGAGAGCGCTTGTCTCGGTCGGTAGACTTCCGGAATCCTGCGAAAGTGAGATTGCGTTCATGGATCAGGTTGTTTCAGCATTTTATCTTCAAATTTATCTTTCAATTTATTGCTAAAGTAAAGTTAGTATAAATATGAATTTTGCAGGTATATATTATTGAAAAGTATTTAATGTAATTATATACGCAGCATTACAATCTAAAATATAATTTTGTAATTACAGTATAATCTAATAATTCTTTTAGAAAATATTTAAAAGCAGTTTTGAGTCAACAATTTTTGTTATATTATATAACAATGTTACGAAGATGATTCCTACCTGATACAAGCAGCAGAGCATGATCCAGCCGAGCGGATGCTGGCCGAGCTGCCTGACGGATTGCGGCTGCACGTTGAGCGCCTCAAGAAATTCGCAGGCCTTTTCGGCATTGTCGTTGTGAATAAAATAGGCCACGCAAAGCCGCTCGACGTGCGGCCACTCGAGGCCGGCGAGATGGATCCTGCGCTGGACCAAAGGCGCGAGAGCGGTCGAGTTGCTGGGCGAGCACGTGACCAGGATCCTCGCGTCCGGGAACAGTCGGCCCTCCAGGAGGTCGGCGGCGTCGCCGAGGGACGCCCGGCCGCCCACGCATTCGTCGTAACCGTCCAGAACGAAGAGCACGCGGTCCTCCATCAGGTGCAACGTGCGCCAGACCTGGGCGACCGCGTCGCCCAACGCGGCCGTTCTCGGGAACAATTCTCGCGCGAGATAATTCAAGACGGGACTCCCTCGGAGTTCGCGAAGCGGCACGATGAAGGCCAGAGCCGGACCATCGCTCTGGGTCGCCCATTGATGCAGCAGTCGTAGACAGAGAGTCGTTCGCCCACTCCCAGGACCTCCCTCGACGGCGACGCGTCGCGGCGCCTCGGACACGGTGCCGTCACTTAGCTGGTGATAATCATTTATTTCGTGTTAGTTCACGACGTAATATTCAAAGTTTGTCTTATTTAAATTATTATATATATATATATATATATAATATGATTAATAAATGCTTTTGAGAAATGCTTCAATGAAATTCATTCCAAATAATTGAATATAATTCAATATTAAATATTAAAATAAAATATATAAAATATATAAAAATAAAATATATAAAAAAATATAAATATTAATAAAAATACGAAAGAAAAATTATTATGAATAAAAAACATCAGTCAGACACAGGATGAAAGTAAAAAGGGTAAATGCGATTAATTACGGATTGTTTCCTCGTCTAGCGAAAACCTAACCGAACCTTCGATGAGCGACTCGCGATGCGAAAATAAGGGAAAAAAGGTTTCAGTCACTTCGTGACCAGCTTCTCGGATACTTCTCGGTTTCCCTCGATCTCCGGTCTAGCCAATTAGAACTTAAAACGTTCCCTACGAACCACTAATCCCCTTGGGATGGATCAAAACACTCCGAGCACTTTATTGCTTGTTACACACGAGACGCGCGGTCAGCATTCGAGATATCGATGTCTCGCGATATTATGACGAAATGTTCTCGCCGCGGGAATTGATGTTTATCCGATCGCGCGCGTTTCCTCTTTCTTTTTCGTGAATTTGTCGCATATTTTTTAGCTACAGGGAGAAAATTTCCTCTTAGAATTTAAAAACAATATGATAGAATTTTTATTTAAGGATTTCTCTCATATATATTTATCACAATAAAAAATATTAATATGTACATAGTAAAATTAATCGAACGTATCTTATTGTAGTTGATATTAATATTTTTTATTACGGTAAAAATATTAATTAGAGAAAACTCGTAAAATTCTTCCAATTTCAGGATAAATTCTAAGAAAAATTCTCTCTGTGTATTGTGTATTCTTAAAATTCTTAAAATTTTAATAAAATTATAATAAAAAATTCCTCACTTTCAAGAGTTTACAGCATGTAATAAAATATTTATACTCGTTCGCGTTAACGAGATTAACAAGGATCAATTTCAAATATCACACAGAATAATGCTCTCTTACTCTGTAAATAAATCCAGGATAATCTCTAATAGGATAAAAATATATTTATAATTGGACGATCGAACAAAGAGGCGAAAATGTAATTCGATGCTGATGACATTAGCATTCATTATGCAAACGATTAACATACGCGCGATTAAACTTAACACACACGTCGCGGACAGCAACCGATTGTTAAGGCGACGTCGATTGCGGCGGTGTACAATCGGCAGCCAATATCGGCAAACAGTCTCAATTCCGTAATCGATAACAGTAATCCATGGAACGCGGAACACGTGGCGTTTGCCGGCCATTCGCTCTGTCAGCAATAATCTATCCAGTCGCGCACAGAGTACACAATCTGTCGAACGATGGATAACAGTGCTCAGCCATTATACGGCGTGCGATTCCGACATCCGATTCATTGGGATATAGAAAAAAAAAGCAAAAGATGCAATTTTATATTTGTCGAAAATGTATTTTCCCAGCGATTTTTTCAGCCTATGCAAATATTATATATGGACATTTTTATCTCATATGCACCTGCATACATATATGTACATCTGTAACGATATTTGCATCAACATGTATATATACATAAAATATTACACAGATTCCTCGATAAATTTGAAATCTGCTTTTTTATTTATAAAAATTTCACTGACTTCTTCTGTCTCAATTATACGATTTAATTAACGTTAACGTAAAAAAGGAACGTTAGCATAAAATATATTTAGCTTTTACTATTTATTTTTAAGTTGCAAACTATGGCAGAATTCCTTTAAACTGAAGCTTGACTGAAATGAATTGATGCATGTTTGCCGAGAAGGATTAATAAAGTGTCGATAACATGACATGAATTTTTGACAGGATAATGCAACAGAATAATGTAACGACGTATGAAGGATAGTAAGCTCGTTACCGGATATTCCGCTCAGCGTATTTCCGTGTCACGCGGAATCTACCTATCAATCCTTTGCAAAGGCGCATTTGGTCCAGCCACTTCTCGTCGCAGTCAAATTGTGCCAAGAAGGAAAAGCAAAGGGAATCTTTCGTAAAAATGCCGAAACAGTCGCGTTACAAGGCGCAGGACGATCAATCGATCTTCTCTTCCTGAGAGATTAAAACGTCTACACGCCTATAAATATTCCTCTGTGTACGTAAGGAAGCAGACATTCGATATTGAATTACGTGGGGATAAAGTAGAACAGTTAATTATGATTTGACAAGTAATTAATTTTTTTAGAAAAAAATAATATAAAGGCAATTTTTACAGATACAGAGATTGCGATTTTTACTTTCCTGATATTAATTTTTAACTAATGATTTAAAATAAAATTAAAACTGCATATATAATATATATAAGAAATTTCTCTACATAATATTTTATTATTATATATTTTATATGTAATGTTGCATTATATATTTTGTTATATATTATAATAAATATATGATTGTTCTAATTATTATACACTACAATAATGTTTATGTAATATATGTGTGTCACAGTGTTTATTACGTCCTCTTCATTAGTTTCAAGATGAAAAAATTAAAAACCAGAATTTTGACAAATTTTCAGAATAGATCAGCGTCCGACGTTGATATTCATGCGGTACCGCGAGAGATATTGCGCTTCATTCCGTTGTGAAAAATTTAAGAAGACAGTGATACAGGGAGCGGTGTTTCACAACCGGCGATGTGTCTCTTCGCGGGTGCATCGTGGAAAGAAACGCGATGAGAAAAATCCATCGCGCGGAATCGTGCCAGACCAGAACGCGATCGTTTCCAGATATACGATTTCACGTATCGAAAATGGCAGGCAACGATTGGACCGCAGATCGATCTGTCCAGCAGTTGTTCTCTCTCTCTCCATCCGATTTTTATATCGTTGATTCGATTGCACAAACGATGCAGTGAAATGCACAAACGCGCGCTTCGGCGAAAAAAAGCGATCACTCGAATAATAAAACAGATAAAACATAGATAATAATAAAACTCGTTAGCTTTTAGTTACACTCAAATGCTTTCGAGATATGCGGACATTCTTTGTATTTTCTCTTGAATTATGCGAAATTTATGAGGATGAAATTTATCTTCAAACACAATTTCTCTTTATTGCTTTCATATCGGATATACATTTTTATTCATCAATAATTTCAATTAATTATATATTTTCCATTACTTTATTTACCGGAATTGAAAGGCAGAGCGAGAAAGACTGACCTTTTATTTTTTAAATTATCTCTCATTGTATTCTGTATCTTTTGAAATAGACTCGCGATGCTGCAATTTCGTGATTGCGCGAAGGAGCGAACGTTCAAGCATCCATTAGCGAACAGTGATCGCATAATTCGAGCCTTTCTTACACACGAATATATATCTCAAATAATAAAGAATATTGCACAACGTTATATAAATGATATTTTTTTTATTTCACGAGTCAGTCGAAAAAAGCGGTAATTGTTTTTTTTTTTTAATAAAAAGTCGATTTTTTATATAATATTTTATTGAAACCTTTGACACTAGATTCGAGGGCCTTAATTATTTGTTTTTTTTTATATTCAATATTTTGATTTCTAGCATCGAGCAATAGAAATTTTGTCACGAATTTTATCTATTGTTGGAAGAATCATTATTTTTATTTGCAATGTATAATGATTCGCCATGAATTTTATTCAATGCATTATTTGAAAAACAACTGAAGACTAATTTTACAGAATATATTATTCTTTTATATATATATATAATAACAGAAGATAGATGTATTTTAAGCGCAGTAAATTATAAACACGTAATTTTAAAAAACACATGATGCATTAATCAATCATTTTATCGTTGAATAAAATATTTTAATAATATCCCTGTATCTGTCGTGTACACTTTACATCGGAAAAATGAATCGTAATAATCGAAAGCAAAAGGAAATATAAAATTATAAAATAACAATCTAGAAAAGACTAAAATACGATAAAAGAAAATTTATACGCGTCATTTTCCATACAACGCTAATAAAAAATTGACATCTAAGTACTGAATTTTACTAAAATTTATCTCGCATATATTCTTTAATCAAAATAATATAATTATCGTATTTATTTATCATGCAGTTACACTTAATAAAATGTATTTTATTGCAGCAAAAGATATCATATAGCCCGACATCTCAGAAAAGAGCAGGAACTGCATAGAAATAAGAGGTGCTTTCGACGGACTATGGAATGAATAAAATATTACGTAGAAAAAAAGTAGCTTTATTGAAGCATTTACTTTCTTTTTTTACGGCAGCCTTTCTTTATGTCAGCTCTTTAATTTCTGGTGCGCGAGGGAACCCTGGAGAATACACGGAGAGATGAATGCGGATGCATTTGGCGGTCCCGAGGACGATTTCTGAATGTTGTCTGCACGGCGCGCTTTCGTTTATTTTCGCGGTGGAAGCATATCGGTTTTACGACGCGGATTCATCCACCTGCACATATGGTCCCGTTACGTATGTGCTTGCGTGCACCTTGCCTGCACTTTCTTTCCTCCCCATCCTATATATCCTACGTATGTCCTGACGGTTACGAGGCTCATTTTTCGACGCGAGCGTTTTCAGGCGCATTGTCTGCATTTTATGGCTTTTCATGTTATATAGCGGCGATTTATCGACCCGAACAAGAGAGATAGATTTCCTCAAAAAAACGCAACAACAAGAAAGTCGCGTTCCTTCAGACGGTTATCGAAAAGGATTCATTTTGATCTTCCACTTCACATGTGCTTCGAAATCCTCTCCATTATACGCACCTATAATTCTTCTTCGAAATTTAAATACAATTTTAATCGCTTAATTTTCATAAAATTAAAACTATTTTGTTTTACTAAAAATTGTCAAGTTTTAATTTATTAATATAATTATCATGTAAGAGAGAAGTATTATTGTAATCGTATTATTATATATATTGCTGTAATTCGATCTATGATCATTATTTTAATTAATTATCAAAATTATACTTTTCATAACGTGAAGACATCTTGCAGCAATCATTGAGTTTTACTTGTCATTATGAGGTGCTGGCTAAGAATGCAAATAGGATCTCTATGATGAGAAGAAAGGATGAACTTTGCTCTTGGTTTTCGATAGGTATTATGGTTTTCCATTTGACGATGATACGAGAGAGTTTCTAACGGCTCTTGGGAAAACGTTAATAAAGCTAAGCTCGACTTATCACGCCCCGACAAAACAATGCCTCGTTACGTGATCCAAAAGGACGCCCAACCGATCGGAGTCTCGATCAAAATCTCCTTTATCCAGGTGCCGAGAGAGAGAGAGAGAGAGAGCAGAGCGTGAGAGGTGAACGACCATTCGTGAGATACGTGGGAAAGCGCTGAAAGGGGTTGAAGTCGCCCCTTATTCCAACAATTTGTCTAAATTGTATTTTAGGACTTTATTTCGGAATTTTAGATCGATCAATCGATGTAAATAATTTCTCATTCGTTAACTAAATAAATAAATATTGAGATTTGAAAATCGAGAGAGAAAGAGAGAACTTAGTGTTAATAATTTTTCATTTTAATAAGAAATTTGTGTGAAAAGTTTATGCGCGTTTCTCTCTGGTTTTAATATATCGTTGAAAAGTAAATAAATCGCTAATTTGTTTCAAATTGTATTTTAGGACTTTATTTCGGAATTTTAGATCGATCAATCAATGTAAATAATTTGTCATTCGTTTACTAAATAAATAAATATTGAGATTTGAAAATCGAGAGAGAAAGAGAGAACTTAGTGTTAATAATTTTTCATTTTAATAAGAAATTTGTGTGAAAAGTTTATGCGCGTTTCTCTCTGGTTTTAATATATCGTTGAAAAGTAAATAAATCGCTAATTTAAACGTTTCATCAATGTTTAAAAATTCAAATTACACACAATTTACAAATTGTATTTTAGGACTTTATTTCGGAATTTTAGATCGATCAATCAATGTAAATAATTTGTCATTCGTTTACTAAATAAATAAATATTGAGATTTGAAAATCGAGAGAGAAAGAGAGAACTTAGTGTTAATAATTTTTCATTTTAATAAGAAATTTGTGTGAAAAGTTTATGCGCGTTTCTCTCTGGTTTTAATATATCGTTGAAAAGTAAATAAATCGCTAATTTAAACGTTCCATCAATGTTTAAAAATTCAAATTACACACAATTTACAACATCGATCTTTCGTACTTCATTTTCACTCGTGATTATTATGAATTCTTTTTTTTCTTAAAAGAGACACGTATAAAATGAATATATAAATAAAGGAAATCGCTCGTAGGTCCGACTTAAAGGTTCCTTTATCCCTTCATCCGTGGAAATCGATTCGGTAAACCAATCTAATCAAAACAACTATCCGGCATGGACCAATCCGACTGCGACCATAAATAAATCGCGGACCTCGATTCGAGGATTTCAGTGCATTTCGTTCGCGGGAGACTGCATCGGGAAAGCAAGAACTCGAGACAGCGAGTTCGCGGAACTTTTTCACCCTCCCTCGCGGAACTTCAGACGACACCAACTTGGCTTTCACATTCCGGAGAGAAGTTGCCCCAGCGAGGAAAGCGAGTTTTCGAGTCTTCGACAGTCGTCGGAAAAGGAACCCATCCCCGTGGACATTCGACTCCGTTGCTCGCTCGCAATTACGTAGTCGATATCATGCAAATCCGCCCAAAAGATCTCGGTGTTCTGATAACGCATCGCGCATCTTTCGCGAAAAACTCTCGTGTGCGCCACGTGAACCGGAAATCTGTTTGACGTTTTCGGGACGAGATCTCTCCGAGATTTTTGTACCTCTCGCACGGTTATGATGTAAGCCAACGTGTCTCTCGAGCTTTCTCGCTCCCGAATTTCATTTTATATTCCCGTGATTTTGATATCTTCCTCTCCGCACTGATCGTCTTATTTAGGAAAATGAAAACAAAATTTTTTGCGCGATTGTTTCTATGTATTTTTACCCGCGAATCTTTATATAACGCGACATTTACAGGGTGCATCTGAATCAGTGCGAAAAATTTTAGATGATTCTTTGTCGAAAATTAAGAGGGGTTTCTTATATAAACATAATTTTTATCCTACCCCTCCCTGAGGAATTACGCTTTTCTAAAAAGAGAGGTGAAAATTAAGTTTTAATTTTTTTCCTCAAATTTCAGACAAATTATAAAAAATAAAACTTGGTGGATATTTTAATATTTAAAAAAATAAAAACCTAATTTTTACCTCTCTCTTTAAAAAAAATGTAACTTCTCAGGAAAGAATATAAGAGTATATATGTTTATTTTAGAAACCCTCCTTGATTTTTTCGACAAAGAATAAGTATGATACGAAAAATTATAATTATACATATATCGATGATTTGAAATACAAATATTGCATCTTCTCTTCGTATTTACTTTATTTTTTAATTAAAATAATTTTCTAAAATATTTGTGATGTTTAATTAAAATATTTAATTAAAATATAAAAATTATTTTTTAAATAAAATATTTTCAAGTTTATTTTCTAGATATATAATATTTCGCGTTCCAAGTCATCGATGCACATAATTGCATAATCTTATATGAGAACACTTACCCTAACGGGAGCGAAAATCTGGTCGGGTTTGATGTTCTCTAAACGGTGCTCCTGCTCGCTTTTATGTACCAACTGCAAGTGAGGCTGAAAGTGCGCCGGACAAAGGGTACCAAGAGGAAGAGGAGATGCCCATGGCGGCAGATGAGGTGGATCGCGAGTGCCCAGTTCCCTGTAGAAGGTCTTCAGGAATCTGCAACGATACGGTCCGGAGAAATATTCAATCTGTGGGTCTCGTACAACACGGAAATTCTTCGAGCGAAGTCGGAGGTTCGCCGAATTTCGGGAGATTTTGGGGATGGGCATAATGAAATAGTTTTGGTGCCCCAAGGTAAGACAAATTGGTTATCGCGCGATTCTAAAAAGATGATGAACGTCTTAATAACTAGTCGAGTCAGATTTGAATTTAACGTGTAATTTTTATACTTTTGCTTAAAAAGAAATTATTTGTTAATTCATATAATTATTCTAGTCTTTTTGACATTTCTTTTACGAATAATGTAAATAATTTGATAAATTTCAATCTATTTCAGTATATATATATTTTATTTCGATATTGTTATAATTACATTCGTCGTTTTCATTATTATTATATCAGCGAAACAATTGTTTCCTTGAAATGCATACTTTATATGAGTAAGAATATTTCCTTCTTGATGCTTTTTGAAATATCCCCTCTTAAATTAAAAATATATTGTTAATTTCAAATAAATTAATAAAATAAAATAATTTAAAATAATAAATTTATAAGTTTCAATTAATATTAAAGATAAATAATACATTGATAAAAAACATCTCATTAAATATAATATATATATTCTTGCTTGTAGAGAATATCTAAAAGAATTTTCCTCTTTAGAGAATATTTTTCTTAAATTAAAAGGATCTTTTTGACACTTACTTTAGTGGAAGATATTACGGATATAAATGGATATAAAATGTATATAAGTTCAGAGATAAAAATACAATTTTTTCGGTAATCGAGTGACTTTAGCAAGTGAACATTATCCATCTTTTCAAGAGAAAAAAAAAGAGTAAAAAAGGTAAATTATAAATTTGATAAAGCCGATAAATGAAGCAGATTGAGTGTCGGGTAAAGATTCAACATGGTTCGAGGAGCGCAAAGAGCTCAGGTCAATTTAACATAAGTGATCCTCCATTTACCGGGTGATCGGTAAATTTCCCAAGACGACAAAATGGTAATACGAGCAAGATGTTGGATGATGCATTTGTGTATACCTCTTGCCACGGAGATTGATGGATCCAAGAGAAGAACCCGCAGGGCTATGGAGGTAATCAGGAGAAGAACGTCCCGAAGGGAGGCGAGCAAGGAAAACCCGTGAGGCTTTTACAACTTCCGGGTGATCGGTCTTAAAGCTTGTTTTGATTTCATGAAAGTCATTAGAGCGAATATCCAGCCGTCTTTTCTGACTCGACAAAGATTTCTGAACAAATATACTTTGCACGCACGAATCGTCGTGCATTTATATTTTGTGTGAGTTTAATTAACATTAAATCTAAACTAATTACACAAAGAACAAATTTATTTCTTAATTAATCACAGTTAGTATTCAATTCGCGTAATATAGGAATAATTAAAATTACAATTGCGCAATTATTTCCGTGAAGAAACATTTTGGAAAAGCTCGGAGGAGAAATATAATAATAAACTTGTATGTGATGTTTACGTAAATATGAATCTATGAAAGCTTTTTTCATATCATAAAATATAATTGCAAGGATTTTATTCAAATTTATAATTATAATTCAATAACAATAAATTGAAATACTTGGTAATTTTTCACAATATAACGAAATTCGATTGAAAAATATGCTGCAATATATTGAAATCAATGATCAACCATAATCCAACTATGAGAGAAAACTCTTCGGAGAAAAATCGCAAAACGATGTAAAAAATAGAAATAATAATCTAAATGATAATCGCGATTAACTCGAATGTGCAATATTTCGTATCTATTTGTACCGAGTGAAATTACCTCCGCCTCATATCCTGGGACAATGGCAAGCATCAGCGCGGACAAAACGCGCCTGATGGAATTAGACTTTCCGAGAGAGAGAGTCGGGACGATTCCGGAGAAGTAAGGATTCCGTCTAGCAGGAGGGCGGAGAATCTGCGGATTACGTAGAACGAGTGTGACTCACCTTAACAGTCTTCCCAGGGGATCCCTTTCCGGGGATGCGGGCCCGCCGAGGCCACTTCCGGCGAGTCTACGCGAGGATGCGCGCGCGCTCGATATGTACGCGGCCGGCGCAGGCGGCGGGCTGCAAGGCGGACAACAAACGGGGCTGCTACCCCCTGGGGTCGAGAGCGTATAACTCCTCTCCAGTTCCTGCAACAGACGAGCGAGCGGCGGTTATGCAACTGCGAAACCTCGGGCTCGCGACAACACGCGCTCGAGTTACGTTCCTTAGCACAGAAAAAAGGAATCCTTCATTCAAGTATATTTTTATTCTTGAACGCTATTTGATTGATTTAAGCATAGAATGCTCTTTGTAATCACAAATTTTCATTTGCCTTAATAATAAATAAGTTTGTGTAAAGTATATTTTATCCTTAAGATATATTCTTGTTTTAAAAATCGCATATGGTAAAAACAAACTTAGTCACATTTAAACTAAAAATTATTATATTTATAAATAAATTTCAGCTTTAACCAAGAATATTTTGCACTTTGTTTTAAGGATAAATTATCCTTTATCCAAAATTATTTATATTTGGCGCTATTATAAGGATAAAATATACTTGAATCAAGGCATATTTGCATTCTTTCAAAGATATTGTTTTTCCTTGATTCAAGTATATTTTTATTCTTGAACGCTATTTGATTGATTTAAGCATAGAATGCTCTTTGTAATCACAAATTTTCATTTGCCTTAATAATAAATAAGTTTGTGTAAAGTATATTTTATCCTTAAGATATATTCTTGTTTTAAAAATCGCATATGGTAAAAACAAACTTAGTCACATTTAAACTAAAAATTATTATATTTATAAGTAAATTTCAGCTTTAACCAAGAATATTTTGCACTTTGTTTTAAGGATAAATTATCCTTTATCCAAAATTATTTATATTTGGCGCTATTATAAGGATAAAATATACTTGAATCAAGGCATATTTGCATTCTTTCAAAGATATTGTTTTTCCTTGATTCAAGTATATTTTTATTCTTGAACGCTATTTGATTGATTTAAGCATAGAATGCTCTTTGTAATCACAAATTTTCATTTGCCTTAATAATAAATAAGTTTGTGTAAAGTATATTTTATCCTTAAGATATATTCTTGTTTTAAAAATCGCATATGGTAAAAACAAACTTAGTCACATTTAAACTAAAAATTATTATATTTATAAGTAAATTTCAGCTTTAACCAAGAATATTTTGCACTTTGTTTTAAGGATAAATTATCCTTTATCCAAAATTATTTATATTTGGCGCTATTATAAGAATAAAATATACTTGAATCAAGGCATATTTGCATTCTTTCAAAGATACTGTTTTTCCTTGATTCAAGTATATTTTTATTCTTGAACGCTATTTGATTGATTTAAGCATAGAATGCTCTTTGTAATCACAAATTTTCATTTGCCTTAATAATAAATAAGTTTGTGTAAAATATATTTCATCCTTAAGATATATTCTTGTTTTAAAAATCGCATATAGTAAAAACAAATTTAGTCACATTTGAACTATTAGAAATATATATTTGAAAGTACCGCTTATATCCGGTGCTCACTTGTCACTTGTCCTTGTAATATTTATAAGTAAATTTCAGTTTCAACCAAGAATATTTTGCACTTTGTTTTAAGGATAAATTATCCTTTATCCAAAATTATTTATATTTGGCGCTATTATAAGGATAAAATATACTTGAATCAAGGCATATTTGCATTCTTTATATTTGCATCCATAATCTCTTAATATTCAATTTTCGAAAACTTGTTCTATAGAAGTGGTCTAGATTTCGTCGTAACAGTTCGAGAAAAAAATACAAGTTTTAAGGTTCAAGATCTAGCGATTTAAATTGCTTCGAAAGTAGAACTAATTAAGAGACATGCGCATTTATATTTGACTATTTTATTGAGATTTATGGTTTATTTCTTCCCATTTCATTTCAGTGAAATCATTAAAAATAACTGATCAAAATTATGTTTAGGAGATACTTGAGATTATATTTAATATTTCGCAAATATGTTCATAATGAAATTAAAATAATTGTTTGATAGTTAATATTTACTATAATACATTTACTACACAGTAAAAATTTTCTCTTAGAATTTACCCTGAAAATCATGATAATCATGAGACAATATGGCATTGGCAAAATTTTATAAGAATTTCTCTGATTAATATTTGCCACAATAAAAATATTGACATCAAAATATCAAATGTGTTCGATTAATTTTACTATGTACATATTAATATTTTACTATGTATATATTAATATTAAATATTAATATGTACATAGTATTAAATTATTTTACCATATTGTCCTACGATTACCGTGATTTTCAGGGTAAATTCTAAGAGAAAATTCTCCGTGTATAAAAGTGCGCGCATATGTTGTCATATTAAATAACTTACACAATTTTTATTTGTAAAAAAACAATGTTGAATAGAAGCTGAAGAATATTTTATTACTTCATGTTTTTCTACCTATATGTATATTAATTTAGATTAATTTATTTGGTCAATGTTTCATATTTGTCAGTTTTATTAGGATATCATTTCAGCATTTATTCGGATTTATGGGACTTTTTAGAATTAAAAAACACGCCGAGCAATTGGAGTCGCGCAAACACAAACTCGGCGAACGAATGATCGCGCCTTACGACTTTCTCGAGGATCTTCACAATGGAGGTACCCAGTTTAAGACGATCCGAGCAAAGAATCGAATTTACGATTTCGCGGAGAGTCGTTCGCGAGGAGCTTCGGCTTCCGGCTCTAAGCGACCGTTTGATCCTCGCCGTTTTCGGTGGTCTAGTTAAACCCAAGGATTAAGTTTCGAGAAATTTTCAAGCGATTTTGCGAAAGGTCGGACTTTATCGTGCGCGTGTGCACGCTTTCACGCTGTTAACGGAACTCGGAGATTAAACTTCGGAAACTCAACTAGATTCTCGAGATTTATGAGAAAACCGATGCTTCATATACACACACGCCCCCTGATATTTCTCTTTTCAATTTCATTAATACACACCAAAGTTAATTTCACCATCCAATATTATCGAAAAATTCTTACCTTTAGAATTAGAAATATATATATATATTTATAAAAAATTTGATTATTCAAAATATCAATAGCTATGTCATATTTTCATTCTTAATAGTAAAAAAAAATGAATGCTCTATTAAAAATCATTATAATGTCATTTTAATCTCGTTTGATCGAATTTCAATATTACGAGAAATTTTATTAATGAAACAGATACGCATCGTCAAATCGAAGATTTTCATAAAATTCAGTGAACGACATATAACTTTGATCGCGCAAGCTTATTACAGCTTCCGAAGAGTAACTTTCGTTATCAACGTTTAACTTTCTGACGGCGAATCCGAACGAAATCAAAGCTTCTTCTTTTCTCATCGAGTTTCCTCGGAATTTGCAGCGGGAGATCGTTGCTCGAAAAGGGATCGGCATAACTTTTTGAACCGACCAGTTTATACGGTCGATCGGACGCGATTTAAACTATCGATCGCCTGCAACTAATTATCAGTATCTCGGGCCACCAGTCGACAGATATTCTCTTAATTACCCTGCTATATATATACAGGGTGACATAAAGTGTCGCACCAAACCAGCAAAAATGTCGAGGAATGCTATCATTTTTTGCATGTCCCCAATTTTTGCCATCGTGTATCTTTATAACTAAACCTTAAATTAAAATTAATAAAATTAATAAACTCTATTTAAAATTAATTGGAGAATGTGGTTTTGTTAATATTTTATTTCCACAAGACTTAGTTTGCGAAAAAACCCTTTAATTTTAATCGCTTGTAACTCGAAATTTATCGATGCCTCAATATTTTTGCCCAGAAAAAATTGTCTCCAAATAACAGGATTTATTTGTCTCAGAAATAAATATTTTTATCGGCTCTCAATATAAAGAATATAAGTATGCTGCCTTCTAAGGGTTTATTTGTATATATTTTTGATGTGATGTCAGACACCCTGTATATACCAATCCGCGCTCTCTCGTTTGCCTCCGTTTAAACGAAAAAAGTGATTCTTGAAAAAAAAAAAAAAAGCTTCTGATGCGATTAAAATCCTATAGTCGGCTAATCCGGAAAACAGTACATTTGTACTGCTTCAGCGATTCCATTCAAATCTTCCATTCTCCCTCGCTATTCGCGTAAGCTTTTCAGCAAAGAGCTACTGTGTAACGAATAGTTAATTAACGTTGCATAAACTCTGCGATACATTCAGATTGCAGAATATCTTGAAATTCGACATTTAAAAAAACTTATAGTTCTCAATACCATTTTTACGAAACAGTCGTTTTCATCGCGCTTTCATTCCAATAACAATTATTTCCCATTTTTCGAATCGTGTCTCTCGATAGCGAGGATTACGAGATTAAAACCTCGCGCAATTTCGATCTTTATATCTGATCTTTATATCATCAAGCTAGACAAACGTGTTGTGTTTAAAACGCGTATAGAGAGATGCATTTTTTTTTAAATTGAAAGGCGAGAGACAAGAAGGACAGAACTTGGCGGCGATTAAACCTTGATAATCGTATTACTCTCGGATATTAATTCCGCTCGAAGATAAGGCTGCCTGTAACCTTCACTGAGCCGATGTTAAGTGATGAAATGAAATAATGAACAAAGTTGAGATCTCTCTTTCACTCTCTTTCTTAGGAATCCCATTAAATTCTTGAAAACGGTAGAACTTTTGCAATCCGATTACGAGGATAATAGTACGTCTTTACATTAACATGCCTTATTACCTTTCTTCATATATTCTGTCCTATCCACTTTATGTTCTATCCATTTTGTATATCAGATATACAATAGATAGGTTTATCATAGATTCTTCAAAATTCGGAGTCAATTTCAATATTACTCTTGCATCATCTATCCACAAGATCATTTACGGCTCTCTTTCTCTCTAAGAAATATATTTAAATATATTTAATATATATAGATCAATAATAAAGTTGTGTTGTTTTAGCTTATATAGGGAAAGTTTTTAATGGCAGGATTCCTGATATCATTTAGAGACGATTTTTCCTTAATGAAAATGTTGAGGGAGGCCATCATTTTTAGCATGATCCCAATTTTTGTTATTAAGTATCTTTATAACTAAGCCTTATATTAAAATTCTACT